ATTATTGAACGTACTTGGCAGAAATTGTTTATTCCAGATTTGCATGAATTTCTGAGATATCATGAATTGTCTGGTCCATTTGATGCTTCTATCAGTGTGCGCACTTTACAAAAATGGTTTATTCCAGAATCTCCATCATCAGTTAATGGGTTAACAGTACTCTGGATTTCTGCCAATTTGTTGTCCTCAAGATGAAATAGACACTCTGGAACCACAATGTTATTGTCACTGATAATTTGGTCAGTGGCAACTTCTTCATAATCAATGCCGTAGTTCTGAATATCTGCTATATCTTCATAAAAACCCTCTTCTTCCTTTGACAACATCCCAGAGTTCCAAAGGGCAAGAGGTGAAAAGTGATCCACAGTCCTTATCCCATGATGGTTCCACTGCATCGTAAATTCATGAAGTGACCTTGAAATGCGAGGTACAAATACATAGTGCAGGGCAAATATATCTGCCTCATTTGTAGAATCCAAAATTTCATAAGCTTGCATATGCTGAAACAAAGCTTTGTAGTGGTGATTTACAACACGATTTACCTCCCTCCACAGCCTTTCAATCCTTGTATTATGTACACTTCTACCAGTTATGAAGCTACCTCGGTTCAGACCACGCCTTGAAACCATTAGCCTAGCCACATCCCAATTCTCCACGCCACAGTCTCCTCGAACACGACTTGGCAGACCATAGTTTTCTACTCCCTCTTTAAAAAACGCAAGAGCTGTCTTGGATAGATTATCAGTTGCACATTTAAGATATGTTATGGCCCTGCTAAAGCCGTCTACACAAYCATGAATAACTATGCGCCAAGAAATTAGCTTGTGGTTGGTATCCATATGCCACAAGCAGTTAGGAGCTGGAACATTGTATACACGGCGTTCTATTGCAGTTTGTCTTCTAGAGGCTCTTCCAATAGGATCAATTTGGTTTAATCTCTCCCGCACKTTCCAACGTTGTATAGTAAAACCYCTGCTTCTCAAACTCCCACGAACATAAGMTTCTCCAGCTCCTGGAGTAATGGAAGATATGTACCTCAAAATTTGGTCTAATTCTGAATCTGAAATATCAGTAAAAGTGCGATTTATCTGAAACTGTTCCACGCGACGATAAAGTGTCCTTTCACTGACATTGAGGCACTTAGCGATGAGGCACCACGTCATTCCACTCTCTCTCAAAGTTACCAATTGTTCCTTTGTAATCAGAAATTTTGGTCGTCCAAAAGTTCYTACTTTAGGTAGATTATACTGGGAAACCTCCTTTTCGTCCTTTTCCTCTGAAGAACTGGTCCACTTTTGGCAAGAAAAGTCATAAAGTTCACGTAAGTGGTTAAGTACCTCTGCAGTATCTCCAGGAACATTCCCAGAATATTTCTTTTCGAGATCATAAATAAATCCAGACAATACTCCCAAATAATACTGCAACTCCCTTCTACGGTACTCAATCATTAAATTGTCTGACGATGCCTCCAGCTGCTGTAGAACCTTATCCAATTCTACGAAAAACTGTTTCAATGCTGCACTGTTCCGACTGTCCGCCATTTTTTTTTATCRCAGTGGTCAGCGGTTTACCCAGATGGGCTCCCTTTGTCGTTAGCTTGGGCTCCCTGTCCCTTTCGTAGAGTATTTGAGAAACTCGTCGAGTTCTCGTCGAGAATTCAAGAAACTCGTCGAGAATTTAAGTTAACTCGTCGAGTTCTCGTCGAGAATTTGAGAAACTCGTCGAGTTCTCGTCGAGAATTTAAGAAACTCGTCGAGTTCTCGTCGAGATCTCAACACCAAAAGTGAGGAACTCGACGGATATATTTTGAACTGAACATGTCTGAAATGCATCTCGGCACACTAAATGCAAACTCAACAAGTCTTCAAATCTCGATAGCTTTTGGCAGCAACGGCTTGCCATATTCGCCACAATGAAATTTAAGGCTGCCGAGCAAACTCATCAACA